TAACCCGACAGCAAACTTCGAGCACCTGGGCTCAGGAATAAAGTCACCGACCGACTCAAACTGGACGTAGGGCACGATGCCTGAACCAGTATAAACCCTGTGTCATTGAGTGCTAAGCCACATCCGATCACAACGTACGACAAAACTACAAATATTTATGTGTTGGTCACTTTCTGCACCGACACCCCCCTCTCCATGCATGAGTCTATGCCTCCCCTCCTCGACTCCCATTCCTATGGTCGGACTCCAACTCCTCCTCTCTCCCTCCTTGCCCCATCGCGCACCCTGCTCCTGTCCTGCACCTGTCCATGACCCTCCCTCGTCGTCCCTAACGTCGCCCCATGCCATCCCTATAGTGGTAGCAGCGGTGGCCAGGTGGGCAGCTGGTGTGCCCAACCGGTGCCCACGCCCAACCCCTCGCACGCTCTCCCAGTGGCCTACGTCTTGCCGAGGCGGCAGCCAGGAGTTGGCCCATCCACTGTGGCGGCAACATCATCAATTGGGAGCAGGGTGATTCCCATATGTACCTACTTACTTCCTCCTTCACCTCTCCCTACCAATCCGCATTTGTGGGGACGTTGAGGTACAGACACCACCACCACTACTACAGATCAAGCGATCACCATCACCACTTTCACTACCGTAGAATACAAAAGCAACCTCTGCATCGAGGCAGAGACGCAAGGAGGTGAGGGGGACACGCACAGGGAGGTAGGGTGTGTGGCGTCCATGCAGGGTGGCCACGTCGGCATTCAGTCGGACATGTGGTGCGCGTGAACGAGGCTGCCTTTAGAGTCCAAAAACGGCATATTCCAAGCATATTCAGTTCAGACGCCCTAAAACAAAGTTGTTGCACTTTGGACGTCTACCAATTTGATTAAGGGACCTAAGTGGTTTGAGCTCTGTATTAGTAGGTAATTAAGATCCAAAGTGTTGGTGACTTAACAAGGATTGCACTTTGCTTTGTTTTCCCAATTCCTGGTCAAAAACTTGGTCAAACTCTATCCCACTTCTTCTAGGCTCTTCTTCATGTTAAAAAAACTCCAACTCTTACTTTTGGATCAAAACAACTTGTTTAACAAAAACTCTAGGACACGATGTGTCAACATTGCAATGTTAGTATAAACCGTCCATGACTTAGAAATATTTCCTAGGCTGAAAACAACAGCTGATTGGAACTTGTGATCTCTGTTTGAGCTATTTGAAACCTTATTTGGCTCTTGGTCCTAAAATAAAGTTTGTAGTACATGACTCAAACTGTAGTTTCTATTAAAGGTAAAACTTCACAACTAGTACAAAAACCATTGTTTTGTTTTGGTCAAAGCAGCACCTCGATGAAATTTAAATTATCCTTTTGGTCTATTGAAGCATTTTCTTGACACTTGATCAACAGAACCCTTCATTACTTTTGTTGTAGAACTAATTTGGAGTTGTTAGAGCATGGTTGCAAGGTTTGGTTGGCATCATATGTTCCCATTCAACTAACAAAGCAATTCAAGCAAGTACATAACTTATCATTCCTTGTGACTTTTTATTCCAAACTTCATCAAACTTTTCAAATGCTCAAGAGAGCTTGCTACTGAGGTAATGCACATGAAAGAGGCATGCTTAACATTACTCAAGCATACATTTGAAAAGGGTCAACATGTAAGCAAAGGTGTGTTGTCCAAGCTTAAGTTGGGGCTCATTCTCAGAGAATTGATCTCAACACTTTTGTCACCACTTCCAAAATTTTAGACTAGAGCTCTTGATCATCACTTGATATAACTTACTTGAGTCTAAACTCACTGCTTAACTTGAGACTAACACCTAGGGTGTTACACCTTGTGTGGAAATAGAAGACAAAGGAGGAGAAGTTAGTCACAAAGATAGTGATGGTATGCAGATGGTGATCATCGCTAGCGTCACGACTCGTGCCTCCTCGCCATCAGGAGCACTCCTCGACAAGTACAAGGCGGTGACTCGATCTCGTGCCTCCTCGCCTACTTTTTTCGAGAATGCGTATACACATTTCGAGCATAGCCGACCATGCTCTCCTCACTCAAGGAGGCTATTTATTAACAACACGTTCTATTACAGCCTTAGCAAGACGGTTATTATACTTCTCTAAGATGGTGAGTAAAGAATGCAAGGACTCCTTTGATATCTGATGCCATCATGTCGCCTACAAGCGGAGAGGAAAAAAATTTTGGAGAGAACACGTATACACGTATTTCATTAAGAGACCCATACTAAGGCTAATAATCCAACACATGACCTCGAAGCTCCAACGGCCGGATTGGCTATAAGAATCTTTGCAGCCCATCTCTGAGCCCACTCATATTGTAGTTAGCTATTTATTATTAATACATGTGTCACCTTCTCTCACTTGGTTCTGTGCATAACTCGTTTTTCTTCTCTCTCCTCTCTCTTTTTGCTTCGCCTTAGCATTTAGTTCTCTTACCGTCTGTTATTATACTTCTCTAAGACGGTGAGTAAAGAATGCACCTCCCCCTGCCGCACTCACTGCTCACACTCAGTAGTCAGCAGAAGCATCGGTCCCCATGGAATCCAGGAACAGTAGCAAGCAGCAGGAAAAAAATGTCCAAAATAATGGAGCCAAGAAGTGAAGAGAGGGTCCGAGGGAAAGCAGTAGCAGACTCTTAGAAGCTATGTTCCTATCAGGGAACGGGAACAAGAACTTGGATGCTATTCTATAATGTGGAACATGATTATTTTGGTGGGGAACATGCTGTGGAGAACATCAGAACGGAGATATTATCTTCCAACTAGATGTGTAACAATCCATGTTTTTATATAAAATATAAAAATACCAACCTTTTGAATTTTTTGTGCAAATGTGCGTTGTATGTAGAATTTAGCTCGAAACCCTTGTAAATCTTCCCCTATCACCCTATTTCAAAATTGACACATAGATTTTTCGAATTAAAACCTTGCATAACGTGACATGACCAAGTCAAGCTTTAGAACAATTTAAAACCAATTTCTGTTTCTCAGAAATAAAAGGGGAATTGAATTCAGTTTAAGTAAACACATGTTTCCTAAAACCAAATTTCTAAACCAAATCATGTGCATCTCAAGTACTCTAGCATGCGTGCTTGTCTGGACTCTGGAGCCTATCTGGTTTTAGTTTGGTTTTTACTTAGAGTTTATATCCTTTATTAGAAAACCCCTTCTTTTAGTTTAAAAAAAAAGAAAACCCATTCTTTTCCATAGCCAAACTTTAGGCCGACTTTGGCCCAGCAACATTGGCAGCCCAACCCTCTGTTCCGAGCCTTCCCACCGGCCCCACAGTCTCGCCATCCCCTGCAGCCTAGCGTGCTATCCGCATGGGCCATGGCCTAGTAAGGCCATCAGCGACATCAGCGGCGTTGCTGCCCACACCTCGTTCTCCTCTGGCCTGAACCGCAAGGCCCGGCCTCCGTCATCCCTCCTCACGTCTCTCCGCGCAGACCAGGTTCGCAGTCGGCCCAGGCCCAGGCCGCGAGGGAGTCGACGGCGTCGCCAGAAGGGGCCCACCAGTCGGTCTCTCACAGCCGCCCCTACCGATGCCCTTCCATCAGACGCCCCTAACGAACGCAGCTCATGCTCTCGTGTCTCAATTAGTCACGTCTCAAACTCGATCAAATAAATGAACTCAAATATGTCACGTCTCACGTGCGTGCCGGCATGCGTACGCCACTGTCATTGTGCATTTGTACAGCATTCCCATTTTTTTTTGACACCACAGCATATATCCCGAATTAGTAGATCGCTAAGCTGCTAGCCTTGGATTCCATGAATAACAAACAGCTTAGCACTTGGTCGTTGCCCACCCAATTTTAGCCTTCCTCGACTCACGCGTGGATGGTGTCCGATCCGTCGTCTCCTTTATAAGCCGTGCTCCGTCGCTGGTTGATCCTCAGCCGTGCATGTTCCGGCTCCAGGCCGACGATAGTCGATAGGATAGCCGAGCGAGGAGGCGATCGAGAAGGACGACCGAAGCTCCTACGCGCGTGCTCCACCACGTAGTAGGCACGTACGATACGAAATGCCGGCGGCGAGGCGGGTGGTCCTGGAGGTGCTCCGGTCGGCCTCCCGCGACGCCTTCCAGGTGGCCTTCTCCTTCGCCGCGAGGCCGCCCGTGTCCACCATGCTCAAGCCGGCCATCACCAAGCCCCTCCACCACCACGACAACAACTAGCCGATCATCCACGGCGGCGTGCATGCGCGCCGCCGCGCATCCATATATGCGTTGGCCTCTTCGCTCTAGTCTGCTGCAAAATTAAAGCACGGTCGTCGGCATGGTTTCACCGCCCGGCCGGTCAGCCCCTGTCAGATGTGACAACGACATGCCGTGCTTATACATATATATGCTGCACTGCATGCTGATCTAGATTGTCGATCGGTAAGGTCCCTACCTCCAAATTAAATGTACATTACGTCGCTAATACTCCAGTAAGCAACGCAACAAAATGTCAAGCTCGCTGATGTAAGCTTGCATTTGCAAGGAGATGTGTCAGGCTCTCGCTGATGTAAGATTGAGGCTGAGAGCTTGACCATACGACACCCATGTAAATTGTTTACGACGGGTATAGAACATGTTGTAACCATTTCTAAGTGGCTAAGGGCCCGGCACGGGCCCGGTTGCCTTGTCAGCAGAGCTCGCAATCTATAGCAATGGAGCTATCAGCCTTGCAGGGCAGGCCAATTTTTAATATTGACTTTGGAGGTCGATCGATCGGGTGAAGAAATCGTCGATTTGACGACACTCGAGCGACCGATGGTTGACGAAGGATCAAATCCAATCGCATGAGCTAGCACACGCACACCTGGTCAAACCACACCACACGCCTTCTTCTCCTCCCTTCCCTTCCCTCCTCGTCTCGTCGTCGACACACTCAGTTCCTTCCAACTCTCTCCCACCAGGCCACCACGCACTACTGAGTCCGACCTCCACACCCACACCCACCAGCGATCCACCTCCGTCTCCACTCCCCACCTCCTCCCGATCGAGGACGATGATGAGGCCGGGGGACGAGTACTGGTACCAGCAGCAGCAGAAGCAAGGCGGCCCCGGCGGCTTCGTCATCGGCGGCGCGCCGCACGGCGTGATCATGGCGGTGGTGGTGGGTCTGGTGGTGGGAGGGCCGCTGTTCCTGGGCGACGGCGGGGAGGCGATCAAGTCCGCGATTGCGGACCTGCTGGGCCCCACGGGCCTCCTGCTGCTCCCCGTCACGCTCATCCTTGTCATCCGCGTGCTCTCCTCCGACCGCGGGGCCGCCGGCGCGCTCGCCGACGCCCTCGCCCTCGGTGGGTCCCCGGACTCCGTGCACCGCGTCGGCGTCGCGCTCGCGCTCGCGCTCGCGCTCATCGCCGTCCTCCTCTACTACCGCTCCGCGCTCCTCGGCGGCGGCGACGACGAGTAGCTAGCGCTGGTCGGTCGACGCCGGCGAGCGCGGCGGCTGTGGCGCCCTGCGATGTTAGTGTACATAACTAAAGTAAAGTGATGCTTCATCATCGCTGTTGCGATCTGTGTAAACTGTGCTGGATCGTGCTGCTGTCTTCCTCGTTTGGATTTGGAAACGCGAAGCTCCTGCGCTACCTACCGTGTGTGTGTGTGTGTTTCCATAGTTTGGCCAGAATTTTATTTAATTTTGTTAATAAAACACACAAGATACACACAGCGGCACACGTGTTGTGAAACTGGTATGGAATCCGGAACTGGAAGAACACCGGGGTTTTGGGCTATCCGGTCTATATACCCATTCTATATATCAAACCGGAGAGTTTGGCCGTCAGCTAGCGTGGCCACTGTAGCAAAATAAATTTTGGCCGTTTGATCTTGTTTTGATGGCTGCGCTTTACTCCACCGAACGTTGTGTAGGACCACGCGTAACATGGTGTCCACAGAAATATCTCATCGCCTCCCATCGCTCCAGCTCTTGTCCGCGGCATTGCCTCGTCTCCTCCGCTCGCTCCTCGTCACTATGGCTCCACCGTCTTCCTGCCTTTGTGCCGCCCCTCCGCCTCTCACAGCGCCGCCCCTCCCCATTGCCTACGCCGGCGGTGCGCCCTCTCCAGCACCTGCTCCGCCCCTCCTGTGGCGGGGAGATGGCGCCCCCATGCGCGCCGCACCGGCACGAGCATGCCCAGGCGGTCTATGCCCCTCGGCATGGCGCGGTGCCGGCCGCTGCCGCTGCCCACGCCTCCCCCCTCCCCCAGCGCGGCCTGTTGTGAGTGCTCCGCACGGATCCGTTGTTCCTCGTGTCGTCCGCTCGCCGCGCGTGGGCCACCGGCCACGGCGCTGCGCGAGCGGGCCCCGCCCTTGGCCGCCGGAGCGGGTCCCCCCCCCACGCAGCCTCCTACCGATGTTGCGCGGCTACTCCTGTGACACAGGAAACCCTAGGTGCCTCTCCGTCTCATGATCTATTGCTGCCTCTCCCTTCTCGTCTTGGATCGGCTGCCGTACCGGTGCGGGAAGTGCTCCATGCCGCCGGATCGAACGCCGCACCAGCGCGGGGAGCCGTCAATGCAGCCGTCGGCCTCCGCGATCGCCCTGCCCCGGCCGCATCGGCTGCGCGACCGCCTTCCGCTGACGCGGCCGCACCCAGCGTAGCCCGACCCCGCCTGCGTCGTCACCGGCCCCGTTGACGCGACCGACGCCAGTCCAGCTGCATCTTCTTCTCTATTTCGTCCTCCCTGACCTTACTTGGTCCTGCCACGGTAAACTCAAAAAAATCCCCTATATCTCCTTTGCCACCTTATGTCTCTGGTCCCTTGATTTTATTTTCTATATGTATGGATGTAGTTTGCTTACACATACGATTTGTGTTCTGCAAAAAATGTCTCCCCTCATAATTGATGCGAACAAGATATGTTATCTCCTACTTCCACTCCAATTTGTGCAGCCATTCTTTCGCTTTTGGCGTTGTTTGCTTCTCCTTATTATTGTTGTTTATCGTCTATGCACACACAAATTTGTAGCCTTAACCAGCTGATTTACCGGTGCGCGATGGCGGGCGTGATGCACTAGTGTTACGTTATGCAAGCTGCTGCCTTGTTGCGATTTTAAAATTTGGGCTGGATCGCTCTGTGCTCTGGTTTGGAAATGCGAAGCTTCTGCGGCACCGGTTGAGTAGGTGGGTCCGTGGGTGACCGCCTGACCGGTGACCATATTTGATTTGTTTAATTAACTGCTACTACTAGAAGCACAGTAATAATATTTTACAGCATAGCACTGTTATCACATCATGTGCGTGTGAAGCTGCTGTGGGACCGACCGGGTTTGGCACTTAGCACTAGCGGCCCAACTGCTGAGTACCAGAATGTCAGTGGCCCAAAAGAGCACAGCAGTCTCTCCCGCGGCCTGGCAGATAGTCACCCTGTTCGGCTGCAGGGAAATGGGCTGATTTCGGCCATAGCAGCTGGGCCTTTTAGCCTAGTCGTTCGGCTACGCAGCTTAATTGAGAGAGATGTGTTTTTTTTCGTTTCATTTGAAGATATTTTCCTTCGTGTATGTCCTCCATACATTGCAAAAACTAAAGCAAATCAACTAACCAGAGGACGCGATGTGCAGATCCGCCGTGCATATATAATTCATCAGGTAGTTTCTTTGCCATCAAACTTCGTAATTACTTCAATGACATGAAGACTCCAAGCGGATGACGAACCTCCCAAGCGCTATAAGAGCGTCTTCAATGGTGTAGCTTAGAGTAGCTCATGAATTTTTTTAATCATTAAATAGTACACAAGATAAGAGACTATCGTGGACTCGAGAGATAGTCTCCCACACTTCACGATGCATTCCTCTCTCATAGCGCGATGTTTAGGATAGTCTCTCTCTCCACCATATTTATTAGCTTAATAAAGCTAGTGCTAGCTCATACCGTTGAAGACACTCTAAGAGCGTCTCCATTAAGAAAAAGAAATCCCTTTTCCTATAACTAGTGATAAAAGGGATTGAGAGAAAAAAAAAGCTCCGGCAAATCCCCTTTCTAATCTTTTTTCATATTTTTTGTCAGTTGAGAAAATTAACCCCTTAATTCCCAAAGAAAAGGGGGCAACCAGCCAAATTTCTCAATCCCCTTTCTTCCTTTCTCCTATCACTGACATCCAAGGCAGCCATCGTCGCGCCTAAGGCCAGGTGGGCAGCCGTTGGCGAGCCGTTACCACTGCACCATGCACCGAAGGCAAGCTCCTTGGTGAGGACTATACAAATTGAGCGGTTAAGAGGATCATTTGAAGAACTTGTTTTTGTTTGAAAATTTTATCAAAACCTCTAGAAAGATGGTTGAACAAGGGATAAGTGAATGATGAGTCTATATAAACGTTCTATCATGCAACCGCCCAAGATCAGGAGAAGCCAAAAGCCCTATGGGGACCAAGGTTTCACATCCAACATCAACCCATTGTTCAATAATGCTTTTAGATCTTTTTGGTAATGGGACATGAGTGCTACCAGAACTTTGCAGTTGTGTAGGGGATGATTTACATGCTGCATTATTGAGGAAGGTACATGTGCACTTGCTGAATTTTCATTAATTCGGCTAGAGTTAAGAGTAGTAACATATAGAGCCGAATTATGGTAATTAGCATTTGCATATGGTGCTGAATTTGTAGGTGTATCCTCCAGTTTAGTAACTTCTTGTGAGGCATATGATGGTTGAGAAAAATTGGCCGGGTAGCTAAAGCTAGCATGGACAAATCTTCGTTCACCGGCATGTGTTGTGGTGGAATCACACACTATGAATTCTCTGCCTATGAGAAAAAAGAGGAAACATCTTGATCAATATTACTAGTGAAAGGATTAAGATGTCCAAGAGGGAGGTGAATTGGGCTAACTCTAAATTCCCTTCAATAATTAAGTCCTACACTTAGCCCATTTCACCCCCTTGTGCCTAGAAGTGTTTCTATTATTCTACCGCACAAAAGTTTTGCACCCTAGGTTCCAATCCTACTCTAGCATGACAATTCTAAGAATGTAAAGACATGAATTGAAGTACTCAAATGTAAATGCTCAAAGTAAAGAGAAGGAGAAGAACGCGGCGATGTTTTTCCGATGTATCGGAGAGTCGTCACTCCTCACTAGTCCTCGTTGGAGCACCCGCGCAAGGGTGTAGCTCCCCCTTGATCCGCGCAAGGATCAAGTGCTCTTTACGGGCTGATTCTTTGACACTCCATCGTGGTGAATCGCCTTCAACCGCTCACACCATGACTTGGGTCATCCACAAGCTCCGCCGGATGATCACCAAGTCTTCAATCACCATCGAGCCGTCTAGGTGATGGCAATCACCAAGATTAATAAGCACAAACTCTCACTTGACCAAGAAAAGCCTAATGAGGAAGGTGGATGCAGACTTGCTACTCCCTATGCATTAATGAAGTCCTTAATCTTGGATTATCAAATCTCAATCACCCCACTAGGCTCTTGCTCTCCCTTGCACTCTAAAGGTGTTTCTCAGTTGAACAAATGGGCAAGAGAGCTAAGTTGGACGAGTAGGAGAAGTATATATACTCCCCACTTTAAAACATAACCGTTATTGTCCAACTCAGCAGTTTTTGGGGTGACCGGACGCACCAGACGAAGTGACCGGACACGTCCGGTCAGTAGCCAACGGCTACATGGCGTTAGCCTGTCAGGAAGGCTATTGGTGTGACCTGACGTTGGCCAGCGTCCGATCAACATCCACCGGAGGCGTTCGGTCAGGAATTTTGGTCTTTGGACCCTCTTTGATGTTAACCTACTGCTCCGTGTCCGGTCGTTTACTGTTCAGCGTCCGGTCCTCCCTACAGCGAGGCCCTACTGCTACAGATACGACTAGAGGTGCGTCCGGTTCCAATTACTATGCAGTGTCCAGTCGCTTCTCAGCTTCTGTTGTACGCGCTGATCACTGACCGGACGCAGCACCTGTGAGTCCGGTCGTCACTAAAACAGCATCCGGTCAACATTTGACTCTCTATTCACTTCCAATTCAAAATCCTTTGTGAATGAGGTTGATACCAATTGATCTTTGGGCTATTCCTGAGCTACCTAGTGCTAAGTTTGATAAGTGTGTACCACACCTAACCCATTAGACTCACCTAGGTTAAGCTACTAGTTCATACCCCCCTTAATAGTATGGTCAAATAAAAAACAAAGTCCTAAACTACTCTAAGTGTCTCTTCAATCGTCAAACAACACTTAGAACTAATCTGTCCTTAACCTTGTCGTCTATCCTTTAAAAATCAAAACGATTTCCATCGATAGGGGCTTGAAAACCATAATTGCCCAAACAATCATCATTACCATGACCTAACTCATGTTCTCTTTGCAAAACACACGTTAGTCACAGTAATCTCGTGTCGTCATTAATCACCGAAATCCAACTAGAGGCCTAGATGCTTTCAACTAGAACCATTAAAATGTGGTCGTTCATAAAAAATAGCTAAATTCACCATGTTAGTTTGGCCTTGATAATCATTCATCGGCATTTGAACTTGTCATGCTGCTGATGCATGAGAATAAAAAGGTACTCCCTCCGTCCGAGTATACATGTCGTTTTAGGAGTTGTAGCAGAGACTAAGGATGATAGTAAAAGACCTCAATAGCCCTACAAGCAATCATGAAACTACTGTTTATTAAGATGACATGCTCATTAATGAGCTCCTTGGTACTCCTTCCCACTCACAAGTATTTTTGCATAAACAAATGATCCAGTACACAACTTTTCACATTTCCACGTGCACTACCCACTCAGAACTGAATTTTTCATGGATGGCATAAGATACAGCGCACCAAAAACACCGGCTCATACACTTGCCAAAACAAAAAAAATTCAAACAACAGCTCTAGGCGCCATTTTTCTAATCGAGGGTCCATAAAGTCTAACAGCCATAGCTTTGCCATCATCACTTGAACCATTCCTCATCCATGGCCATACCAGACTTGAACGCACCACCAGAGGGAGAAGAGGAGTTGCCTGATCTCAACAACAAACCTGCTCAAGAAGAAGATGATGGTCCCTGAAAGCATCTAGACTCCTAGTTGGGTTTCTGTGATTAATGACAATATGAGATTACTATGATTAACGTGTGTTTTGCAGAGGCAATTAAGTTAGGTCATGGTAATGGCAATTGATTGGGCAATTATGGTTGTCATGCCCCTACAATAAAAATCGTTTCAGTTTTTAAAGGATGGACGACAAGGTTAAGGATGAACTAATTCTAAGTGTCGTTTGGTGTTGAAGAGACACTTATAGTAGTTTAGGACTTTATTTTTTTCTTTGGCCGTACTATTAAGGGGAGTATGGACTAGTAGCTTGACCTAGGTGAGTCTAGTGGGTTAGGTGTGGTGCACACTTGTCAAATCTAGCACTAGATAGCCCAGGAGTAGCCCTAAGATCAATTGGAGTAAAGTTCATTCACAAATGATTTTGGAATTAGAAGTGAATGGAGAGTCAAATGACTGACCAGACGCTGGTCTGGTTATGACCGGACGCTGAAGAGTGAGTCTGGTCAGTTCATTTGATCAACCGGAGCCGTCTGGTTGCGACCGGACGCTGAGTGAAAAGTGACCGGACGCTGGGTGCCAGAGATCGGTCAACTCCAGAGAGGTTCCAGAGATGGAGTTTCCTGATCGGACGCGTTCGATCAGTGTTGACCGGACGCTGGTCAGGATCCGGTTACTGACCGGACGCTGAGCAGCGAAGTGACCGGACTCTGGGTGCCAACGTCCGGTCAACATCAGTAAGGTTCTAGAGAGCAGTTTTCGTGACCGGACGTGTCCGGTCAGTGTTGACCGGATGCAGGTCAGCGTCCGGTCTCAACTTAATGGCTCTGTGGCGGGGATAATTGATCGGAGCGTCCGGTCACCCCGTAGAGTGCTGACTCAACCTCCTAACGGTTCGTTTTGAATGAGGAGGTATAAATATTTCCTCTATTCATCCAAAGGAGATCTCTTGCCCATTTATTCAGCTGAGAAACACCCTTGAGAGTACTAAGGAGAGCAAGAACCTGGTGAGGTGATTGAGATTTAAGAATCCAAGATTAAGGCCTCATTAGTGCAAGGAGAGTAGCAAGTGTGCATCCACCCTTCTCATTAGGCTTGTTGTGGTCAAATGAGAATTCGTGCTTGTTACTCTTAGTGATTGCCATCACCTAGACAGTTTGGTGATCATCCGACGGAGCTTTACTCCCGGTGGGGAACCCCCTCTAGTCCCGGTTCCTCACCCGGGAGTAAGCATTCGGGACTAAAAGGGGGTCCTTTAGTTCCGGGTCAGGAACCGGGACTAAAGGGGGACATTTAGTCCCGGTGGGTAACACACACCGGGACTAAAGGTCCTCCCAGCTTTAAAAAAAATAATGCCTCCCACCGCTGCGTCCCGTGAGATTCGAACTCAAGACCCCATGCATTGCCTCGCGCGTAGCTTACCACCCCACCTACACAACACATCTAACAATGGATGGGATGCTTCCCTTTTAAACTAACCCATCGGGGGACCTTTAGTCCCGGTTGATGTTACCAACCGGGACTAAAGGGTCCTTTAGTCCCGGTTGGTGTTACCAACCGGGACTAAAGGTTGAGGACTTTTAGTCTCGATTGGTGGCTCCAACCGGGAGTAAAGGTTCACCTTTAGTCCCGGTTCACCTTTAGTCCCGGTTGGTGTCTCCAACCAGGACTAAAGGTTCTCTACCACTGTGCCGAGCGCAGTAGCCGTTGGGCAGGGACCTTTAGTCCCGGTTGGAGACACCAACCGGGACTAAAGGTCTCTCTAGTCTCGGGCGCAAAAAATACCGGGACTAGAGCCTATTTTAGCATCGGGTGAAAGGTCTGTTCTCTACTAGTGTGGATGACACAACTCAAGTTGTGAGCGGTTGTGGGCGATTCACCGTAACAGAGTGTCGAAGAATCAGCCCGTAGACAGCACTTGATCCTTGCACGGAACAAGGAGGCGCTATACCCTTGCGCGGGTGCTCCAACGAGGACCAGTGACGTTGATTCATGTTAAAAAGAAGAGCCTCTAATTTGTGTTGATTGATGGGTGAATGTGAATCTATTTGAGAATCAAGCTAGAGAAATCAATGGCAGGAGCCGAGGTCGTGGTGAATGCATGGAAAGAATGGGGTCTCCAATTGCTTGTGCTGCTCAGCTTCATGCTCCAGGTCACTCTCCTCATCTTGGCGGAGTTCCGCCGGTGCATCGACTCCGGCGTGCTAAGGGTCTTTGTTTGGTTAGCGTACATGCTGGCCGACGCGACGGCGATCTACGTCCTGGGCCATATGTCCGTGACCAGCAGGTCGCCGGAGCATGAGCTGATGGCGTTGTGGGCGCCGTTCCTGCTCCTTCACCTCGGTGGGCAGGACAACATCACCGCCTACGCTGTCGAGGACAACCGGCTGTGGTTGCGCCACTTGCAGACGCTCGACGTGCAGGTGGCGGCAGCTGCATATGTCATCTACCAATCTTCCATCCTTGGCCTGCGGTCTTTGCTCTGGCCGACCACAATCCTCGTGTTTGTGGTGGGCGTCCTCAAGTACGGGGAGAGAGTGTGGGCGCTGAGGTGCGCGGCTAGCACCCCAGCGGGCAACAATTACCGGTCTCTTGAAAGGTATGCAGTGTTTCGAAGATTCATTTTTAAAGACGTTGCAAGTTCAGAACGTCGGCGGGTAGCCACAAGTAGAGGTGTCCTGGATACGGAAGCCTTCCTACAGATAGCTCACGAACTGCTGGAAGTTCCCAAAGACTTGCTGTTAGAGGGTTCGTTACCCACTGAAGGTTCAAGCACAGATCTGAGTGCAGAGGAGCTATACAAGGTAGTCGAGATGCAGCTCTCGCTGATGCACGACGTGTTCTACACCAAGACGCCTATGATGCACAGCTGGCATGGCCTCTGCATCCGCATAATTTCCCTGGTAGCCACCGTCGTTGCGTTAGTGCTGTTTCTCCTCCAATTATTGGGTGATCATCACAAGGAATTGTACAGCACACATTAGATGTTGCTGTCACTTATGTCCTATTGGTTGGGTCCGTCATCCTGGAGATCACGTCAGTGCTGAGGGTCGTGTTCTCGAGCGGGACTTGCGTGCTCCTGGAAGGATGGAGTAGGCCGCGGATCCGGCGTGCTCCTCCCCTGCGGGTCCACAAGCAAAAAGGACGCAATATATGGCATCTGCTTGCCCGTGTAGTTTCCCCTCTCCGCCGGCTCGTCCATGCAGCAGAGTGGAGAAGAAGGTGCTGCTGGTCGCGCTCCTTGGGGCAGCACAACATGCTTAAGCTGTGCGCTCGCAGCAGGGCCAGCCGAAGCAGCAAGGTCGCGAGATGGATGGGAGTCGAGGACCCGTGGAACATGCTGGCATACTCGTGGTCGATCCCCGTTTCCGCCTCCATCGAGCAGCTGTTGGTGAAGCAACTGCTCAAGAATGTAAGGCGGAACCCAGATGAGAAATGGAACCCAGATGAAATCATCATGGCACAGGGTCGAGAGGCGATGCAGAGGTGGGGGCTGTACGATGACCTGGACTGGGGTGTAGAGGAGAGCATACTCGTCTGGCACCTCGCCACCGACATCTACCTCTATTGGTACAAGGAGTAACAAAAAGGCACTGGTCGGCATCAGGACGATGCACAGGCTGATCTTTCCAAGGCGGTCGAGGCGCTCTCCAATTACATGCTTTTCCTCCTCGCAGCACGTCCCTACATGTTGCCTCCCTCCGCTGACCGCAATGCCTATGCCCAGATGTGCTATGCAATGCTGCCCCCAAAAGGAAAACGCAAGAATGATGCTCTGTCTGCTCTGGAACTCAAATCAGCCGAGAATCTGACCAGCTCACTACGGCGCCTCGGGGACACATTGGGCACTGGATCACCTCCCATTACACTTGAACCTCCTATTGAAGTATTAGGCAGGTATGATGCAGCAACGTGGGAAACAGGAGCTGAACTTAGTGCGAAGCTCATCGGCGAGGATCGCTTAGTAGGCAAATCTACCGGTGACATGCTGGAGATGATCGTCCAAGTGTGGTTGGAGATGCTGTTACACGTGGGCTACCGATGCAGCGCCTACTCTCATGCCAAGCAGCTCAGCAATGGTAGTGAGCTCGTCACCGTCGCTGCTCTCCTTGTGAAATACGTCACACAAGGTATGCACAGCGGCGCGTGACCATGCTTACTCTCTAGTCTCTACTACTAAAGATCTATCTGTGATGAAGAGGGCCCCGGCAATGTCTTGGTGGGGGGCGTCGAATGAAGATCTCAAAGACATGTAATAGGCTCGATTAGCTCGTTAGTTCTTTTATGTCGATGGTTCTGGCGTTAGACCTTTCGTTCAAATTTGCTGTGGTCTCTGTGGTTTTATCCCGTATTCCCGCTGCCGGCTGGAGCTGGGATCAGTGGCGGAGGGTAGTGGAGGCCAAACTGGGTTGTGCCCCCCCCCCCTTGCTCCATGCATACCTGCAGTTTTGTTACCTGTTGATGCCAAAAAAAATGTTTCAAACTGTTGCTGCCGCTATTTGGAGAAGATGAACAGGTCCAGGGCTTCGTTTCTTATTGCTTTACCAACGATTGTATCCACGCACGGTGGTCCAAAAACAAGCTGTCCAGAGCTAGCAAGTCTGCCATTGCTCTCTGTAGCAATAGAAATTGCCCCCGCTTGATTTGGTGCTGTGCTCCGCCACTAGCTGGGATCTCTTTTGGATAATCCTGAGCTGTAACAGATTTTGATCTTTTGATAATAATTGAAAGGCCGGGGCGTCATGCCCTTGAACTCTAAAAAGAAAACTATCTAGTCTCTACATCGAGCATACCCATGACGAATGGCTCGGTATGAACCGATAGTGGCACCGTTCGCTTCTCTTATAGTCCGTACTTTTTAGCTGGTATTTTTAGCTGGAATAATATTTTTCTCTCACAACAAATCAGCCGGAACAATATTTCTGTTTGTTTTTTCAGCGAAGCGAACGGGGCCGGTATGTATTTCCTTCATTCCAAATTACTTCTCAATTTAGTGTTGTCCTAAATTAAAGCTCTCGAAATTTGACTAAGTTTATCAAAAATATGTTAAGTTCCAGTAGCAATTGCATGATACATTGAGGGATTTTTATTTTTTTGCAATTCTTACGGATGACACTCCATCGTTTGCCACTTTTATACGTGCTCCTACACAATTGCCATCGCAAACAGTGAACCTCCTACGTTTTTGCCATTTTTGCTGACATGGCACGCCAGCGTGGCAGTGAGCCTGAGAAGGCTTACAGAGCATGCGAAATGACCTATTTATGCCTGTTGCTTCTCTCCCTCTACTCGCTGATGCGTGGGCCCCACACGTCAGCTTTGTCTTCAACCTCCCGCCATCCGGCGGCTTCCTGGCACTCGACTGGTGCGACTCCACCCCGGCACTGTCTAGGCTCGCGCGGGCCTCCTTCGCGCTGCACTGTCGCCTCGCCGACGCCCTCGGCGGCGCCGACGCCTATGGCTTCCGCCCCATCCACACGCTCTTTGTCCTGCTGCCCACGCACCCTGGGCCCGCCCCCGCCTCGCCGCACCTGCGGCTCCCACCCTGGGTCGACCCCTCCGTGTCCGCCGCACCGCCGAGGGAGCTCGGGACACCACCGCGCAAGTCCACCCCGTCCTCTTCAACAAGGGCGTCCTCGCCGCGTCGGGCGCCGAGGTCATCATCGGCGAGGTAGAGCGCGTCGTGGCTCGGGACGGCTGCGTCGCCGACGTCGTGGTGAAGGGGCGCGGCGCCGTGGTGGACGCCGACGCCGTCTGGCTCGCGCTTGGCCCCTGGTCCAGCCGCCTCGAGGTTGTCAGCGAGGTGTTCGACGTGTCCAGGCTCAAGGCGCACAGCATCGTGCTCCGGCCGCGCAAGACCGAGAAGATCACGCCGCACTGCCTCTTCCTCAGCTACCAGCCGGAGCCCAGCGCCAAGATGCTCGACCCCGAGGTGTACCCGCGGCCCACTGGTACGCCATTGCTGCCTGTCACGAGTTCCCCCTTCCCTCTCTGCGTGGTTATGGCGGGAGGTTGAAGACAAAGCTGACGTGTGGGGCCCACGCTCAGCGAGTAGAGGGAGAGAAGCAATAGGGGTAAATAGGTTATTTCGCATGCTCTGTGGGCCTTTTCAGGCTCACTGCCATGCTGGCGTGCCATGTCAGCAAAAATGGTAAAAACGTAGCAGGTTCACTGTTTGCGATGGCAATTGTGTAGGAGCACGTATAAAAGTGGCAAACGAAGGAGTGTCTTCCGTAAAGATGGCAAAAAGTTAAAAATCCCATACATTGATAATGGTCGATTGGGCCAATCAGAACAACTTATTGGGAAAATCGTGAACCATTGGTTCTCAAATTGTAAGCTCAACCATTGCCATATTGTGAGAGTTGGGCCTTGTTTAATTGACGATTTTTTTCGGAAAATGGTACTGTAGCACTTTCGTTATTATTTGGCAATTAGTGTCCAATCATAATCTAATTAGGCTTAAAAGATTTATCTCGTGAATTTCGTCTAAACTGTGTAATTAGTTTTATTTTTTATTTATATTTAATGCTTCATGCATACGTCAAAGATTCGATGTGACGGAAAATCTTGAAAAATTTTGTAAAATTTTGAGAACTAAATAGGCACTTGGTGTCGCAACTCACAAGGAAATCGGAAAACATGACAATTGACACTGGAAATATACAAGACGGCACAATAGGTAGGCGGCTAAATATTGTTGGACACATATGCTGACATGCAGATGAAACCGTCCATCCAGATGTGTCAAAACAACATCACAACACAGGACACACGCCGCACGCTGCAAGTGCAATACATAGTACCACCACTGGCACTGGGCAATATCATCAAGTGCAAGCTGCAAGCAGGCTGGCATTTTCTCTTTTTTCATTTGGATTTGGGCGGCTTGACGATCATGACGGAGCAGTGCGCGTGGTGCGCGCAGTAGTCGCTGACGCTCCCCAGCAGCGCCCTCTTGATGGCGCCGTACCCATGGCTACCCACCACCAGCAGGTCCGCGCGGTGCTTCTCCGCCGCGCCGCACAGCACGGACCTGGGCTCCCCTTCCACCACCTCGATGAGGGCGTGCACCGAGTTGGCGACGCAGACGCGGCGCGCCCTGTCGACCACGGCCTCCGCCATCTTGCGCAGGTCCGCGTCCACGTACCTGATCGCCTCGCCGGCTCCTGATCCATCGATCGAACATGTAGATAACAGAGGAAGATCAGGTGACCGAGAGGAGAGGAGATCGGAGGAAGCTGACGACGGAGGACGTACGTACCAGGGCCGCCGAAGCTGACGACGGAGGACGGCGAGGGCTTGGCGTGGACGATGACGAGGTCGGCGGCCCCGCCCGCCATGCCGCCGGCGCCCACCACGTGCCGCACCGTCCACTCCAGCGCGTAGTAGCTGTGGTCGCTGTCGTCCACAGCGACCACCACCACCGTCTTCTGCTGCTGCGGCGGCGGCGGCTTCCCTGAAGCCAGGCCCAAACCCGCCGCCGCGGCTGGAGCTGCAGGATCCGTCTTAGCCTCCGCCGCCATGTACGCACACGTAGAACGGTGGATGGAAGGAAACTGGATGTGCTGGACGATTGAGACTCTGCTTGGATTGGAGAATTGGACTGGACGCTTTGGATCGAGCAGAGCAGGCTGCGCCGGTAGTTTATTTATACTAGAGAGGTGAGCGAGAGGCGAGAGGGGGATAAAGTGAGAGGACAAGGGCACGAGAAGCAAGCGCGCGAAACGAAACCGGCGGCGGGTGGCCGGAGATGCGGCTCACTTGGCCGGGATGGCCTCGCGCCCTCGCAGCAGCCACTGATTTTGCGCCGCAAACCGGCCTTGTGCGCTGCTGGTATGCAGGATAAGGATGTCGACGCCTCGACCAGCCCACTGCACACTGGAGCAGTGTGATGAGAACGAGTGCTAGGCCGCTTGATTGACACGTCTCCAACAGAACCCGTACTAGTAGTTTGTTAGCCGGATTTGGCGTGCAGTGGTCGCGTGTCAGGTGACGGTGCGCAAGAGTGCGTGGCATCGTTCCGTTTCAAACATGAAACATTTTTCTCTGCGTAGTACCGGTACAAACATACTACTCCATTTTCATCCATTGTCAAATAGTAGTACATACAGTACGTAGATGACGTGTTAGCAGCCAGGTATAAAAAATGACCGAAATATAATGGGCTGGCATTTTCTAAAATTTGGAAATAATAATGGCACAAAACAAAAGCATCTTGGCCCAGGCTTTCTGCGCCCCGTCTCACTTATGGGCTGGGTGGTCCCGACGCTTGTCCGGGCCGAAACAGAGACCGCCTCGGCCTTTAGCCCAGAACGCCAGTTATCGCTTTCCCGGTTTCCTTTTATTTTGAGCAGCTAATTCACGTTTGGGAACCAGATCGTCTAACATACAGCAGAGGGACGTACCTACGCCCGATGACGCTCGTTGGGCATCCGACGGCGCAGCAGAAATAAGCCCGGAAGGCGTCCGATTCTTGCCTCGGTGTACTCGACACGACCCACATTTAGAAAACGTCCTGCTCGTCGTCCGTCGGCTAGCTGCTGCTGCTGCTCCCTGCTCGCGGCCTCCCCCGGCGCTGGA